TCTTTGTAAATGTTGGAAAAGTTACAAGTACAGAATGACAAGACACTAAATATAGTTCCCAGACTTAAGGGATGTATACTAAAAATCCATAACTACCCCTTAAGGTGAACTCAATGTTTGCTGACTTCAGCTGTACAACTCCACATTCTCATTTAATCTACCATGAGAGAATCTTTTTAAGTTCTCACCTCTAATTTATCACAACTTTCTATATTTTATATATGTTTACAGATGACCATAAAATTATCTTTACAACCAGAATATAAACAGATGAATAGATTATAGAAGGTGGAAGGAGTAAAAAAATGTAGATAGATATCCTGAAAAAAAAACTTGTTGTTTTTAAAATTTTTACCTTACTACTTGAAAAACATTTTATTAATGAGGTTGAGCATAGAGTAAAACCAATAATCTACAAAAAGCAATAAATTACTGGGTCCAAGTCACATCATCCTTGGAGCAGCATTGGATTTAGCAAAAGTAGCATTACCCAAAGGCAGAGAATCAAAAGAAGAAAAGAGAAAATTTATGAGACATCAAGGTTTAACACATGCCTCTCCCAACCAAAAAGGGATTACAACGCTCAGAGCTATAATCTGGAGCATACATCTGGACTATATCCTTCCATTGGCTCTTCCAGCTAATCGGAAGGAATTACTCCAGACTGGGTCTCTCTCTGTTTTGTGGTAGGAGCTTCCTTATTCCTCCCCTGATACTTGTACTCAAACAAAAACTACTGCCCTGGACTGACTGCTACCATTCTAAGTTCTGGGATATCTGGTCATGCTGGTATCTCCAAGGAAAATGCAAAAAGGTATACTGTAAGAGTATGGTAGCTTCAGGCTGTGATCAATCATTAAAATATACCACGGTACCCAGAAAACTCTTTCACCATCTTAAAAGCAGTTGTTCCTTCCTCTACTTCCATGAACATAAACATATCTGTATACTCTACCAATAATGATAATTATCACATACCTACTCTATGGAGCTTAGAAAAAGCCCACATTCAAGTCAACAATCCATTTTTAAGGAAGGTGCTCTCTACAGCCCCAAGAACACTAATGCCACAATTATACTGCATTACACAAAATATTTACACCATTAAAATATTTTGTTGTATTTGCTGTATTCTATATTTGACTTTCATGATTATTTTCCATCTTGATTCCATCATAATTTTCCACTATTAAAATATATATTTCATATACAATGTATTATACAGTATATATCATATTGCATACAACATATATATTTCTTTAAGCAAATTATATAAAATAGAAAATATGTTAAAAAATGAGATATTATTGGAAAATCAAATGGAATTCAAATTGTTAACTATTCTTATATTGAAGGCTAATTAGATGGTAAAATATTTTGATTCAGACTTATTTCTGTAATTAAACTCTTTAAGGAAATGATTTAACTAAGGCACTTTTATCATCTGGAACCATGTTTAAAACATAACAACATAATGAAAGTAAAACGACAGAACTTTTTTTTTTTTTTACCATGGGAAAAGCTACACATGACAGCAGCTGCCATCTTCTGAGGACACACCCCACCCTGCCAGATGTCTTTTTCACAAAGCAGTATATTTTCTTCATCTCCTCGGCAACGGACATTGCTCCAGTAAATGGGAATAAGGCCCAGTCCAGAAAACGGGGTTTGTTTAGCTATTCCTTTTCCTCTGGAAGTACAATGATTGATATTAGGTTTATCAAATGTAGGCAAAACTTCTCATCAAAGCATTTGAAAACAATGGAAGAAATCAACAAAGATGAATGTGGAAGAAAAGAAGAAAAAAAGAAAAACACAATAGATTACATTAATTTCAAAGAAATTAAAACATCAGATCACAACGTGGGTTGATTTTACCTATGGAATTCTCTTCATCAATCTTGAATAACTACTTTATGTGCCTTTATCATCAATGACTGATTTTCAAGAAGACAACCAAGTACTGTAGATATAAAAAGTAAGGCTTTGTGCAAGAAGTGTGTCATGAGTTTCACTGAGGCTTGGACTCCAGTCTGGACTCAGCTAAAAGTCACACCAAGCTGCAAGTGACTCAAAGGCTTTAACTTCTAATGTGTCAAAAGAAAAATCTGGATGCTTGAAGATTCTTTCTGATTCTAACATTCTAGGCTAACATTTTCAAAATTATTATTAGTACATCTAAGCACAATAGTATCAAGGAAGGCAATCCATTTATAATTTTTAAAACCTTACACTGTATATAGTATTTGCTAGCAAGACTTTGAAACCAATTAATAAAATAGCAACATGCATCTCTTTGCTAATACCAGGAGAGTATTTTAAAAAAGAAAAAATGAAAATAATAGCATACAGATGGGCTCTGCTTTTAGCTCATGCACATATTTTTGTAAGTAACTTCTGCTGTGTACAAACGGGTATTAAATTTTAAAATGATGAAATGCTTATCTGATTTACATGGTAATCTCTCCAATTGTCTCCACGCTGCAGCATTCCATCAACCAAACTGTAAACATCTGGGGTATATCTAAAATATAAATGTGTCTTCACAGCAATGAAGCTGAGTCTCCCTGGTTTTATTGTGCAATTCCTTTTTTTTTTAATGGACTACTGAGAAATAATAATATATAAGCAGTTAGATCAGCTTATCTGAAGTTTGTTTGCAGAGTAATCGTTTACATACTTTCGTCAATCAAAAGACGAATAAACCACACAGTAGCTCACACCTACACTATAGTGTTCTTATTTCTTTGTATCTCATAGAAAATTTTACTCCTTTCTGATTTTCAGGGGTAATAAAAGCACATATAGGTATGTACATAAAGGAAAACACTGACCTCAGCCTACAAATTTATCACATCTCTTGTCTCTCAAAGGAAAAAGCATGAAATCAACATTCTTTGTGACCTGCCCACCTGCCAATGTCTGTTTGCCAGACAAAGTATTCATGATAAAATCAGTAGCTAACATTTCCCAGCACCATAACACTTCATAAGCTCTGGTCTTACTCCTTCTTTCATTCTGATTTATATCAACTTATTAAAATAATTCATTGACTTTAATTTACTATAATAACCCTATTTACTGCTCTAACAGCATGAAAAGTCTGAGCAAAATTTAGGTCTTCAAGCTTTGCCTCTACTCAATACTCATTCCCACCTTCCCAGTGGGAAGACAAAAGAAATCTGGTAAATTGAAGTTCTACTTCTTCATTTTGTGCCATCATATTAGCTATTACCACTCTGATTATTAACGCAAAATACTTGTAAACTGCAAACATTTTTTTCCAGTCCTCTAGACTGCAATTTTTATGACAAAATATTTTCCATGCTTTCTAAAGATCTCTGGTGATACAGGCCAAGAAAAATATATGTTAAGTGCACTTAAAAAATATAAAGGAGATGCAAAAACAAAAAATAAAAATAAAAACAAAAATAAAACCTGTTGTCCCAGAAAGAAGGCTTCTACTCCTGGTGAAACTCTATGACACAAGGAATAAAGATGCTGGGACTGATGAATTCAGTATATACTGACTTGTTTTAAAGATGGTGCCTAGGGTTACAGTGGAGCCAGTTCCCAGGCTGGCAGCTCCTTAGCATGGCAGGACACTGCCAGAGCTGACAGAAGCTGCCATCTTCCACAGGACCTCAGCACCAAAATCTAAGGCCTGGGACATCACCACTTCCCCATCAAGGACAAGGGTACAGGTAAACATTGCCACAGATTCCACACAAATGGAATCTGTGGGTAGATAAAAGTAGAAAGGTAAAATCAAATGACAGTAACCACCTAAGGCTGTGCTCACTAATTATAATTAGTAATTATAATAGAATAATTTAATTAATTGATTATAATTCTAAGAAACTATAATTCTTAGAATCGAATTCTAGTAATTTGAAAAGGCAAAACTTGCCGCAAAGGCCTCTATATTTTGATAAAGACAAAGACCAAAAGATGCCTTTAAATTTGCCCACTTCGCATTTGCCCATTTCCTAGTTCAGCCCAGGTAATTGTATGTTAAGTACATTTGCATGTGAGAGAATTCATTTCTTCCATTTAGGGCCCTTTCTTTATAACTCTTTTGTGAAATGTGAGAATGAGGAAAGTGACAGTAAGAAAGGAAGATAGAAGCTTTACAAAGCAATAACAGGCACCCAGCATTATTCTCAGATTCTAGCAGACTGATCTGGTTAGGGATGGGCGCACTCACCCCAGCTGCAGCTGGTGACAAATGACTGATGCATCAGAATCATCCCAGTGGCTGCTACAGACAGTGCCCCAGACTCCATTTGCATACACTTCCACTGTGCCTTCAAACTCATTTTTGCCTCCACGAAGTCGTACTGATCCTAAAGCGGAAAAGAATCCCAAAATCCTTTAATAGTAAATAATCATTTGAACATATTGAGCCAGTCCTGGGTCAACATGATTTTTAAACTTAATTAGTAAGGGATCTAGACAGAATGATTTAGCCTCCACTGTGTGTGGCATGTGTTTCTTCCTTTAAGAGAGGATTTAGCAAGCTCCTTCCTTTTTTCTAATTAACATCCTGGTATCAATGCTGATTATATTTTCTTTTTTATCTAGGCAAACAGATAGTCCTATTATATTTTTTTATTCCATTATCTCTTCATCAAGAAGCAACCACTGTAATTTTCAAAGGGGAAAAAGTGGAAGAGTATGATTAACATTAGATCTTGTATCCCAAATACTAGATTATATCACACATGAAGTTCTTATCATTTACTACCCTCCTCTTCTCATGAGGTCATCAGTGAGAAACACAGAAACAAAATTAAGGATTTTGAATATGAATTAGCTGTAATTAGCTGCGCTACACCTTCCTTCTATTTGATTTGTTCATCCACTATAGAAAAATAAAATGTGTTTTCCCTTTTTAAATTTCAGCTGTGGTCATTAAAATTTTGAAGATGATGTCCATAATTTCAAGAAGTTATTCATTTTGAAAATATTGCCTAATGCTAGTCCTGGAAAAATAGCCACTAGGTAGTATGTATAATTGAATGCCCTTGCAAACTCACCTCCTCTAATATACCATATCTAAAGAGGTGTCCCAAAGTCCACAATTTAAGTCATTCCTTTCAGTCTTTAAAAGAGCCAAAATTTAAATTCAAGCACCCTTGGGAAAGACAACATTTTGGTCTTATCCCTTAGGTGTAGATCAAGACCCTACATTCCTCACTGGACTAGTTCCGGAGCAGGCACTGGGAGGCAGCAAGTGGGACAACTGAGCAGAGACAGAATTAACCTCAGGTGACTTAAGAATGGCATAAAATTATTTTAAAATCACCTACAATTACCTTTATTTAATAGGTAAGAAAATAAATTAATTTAAAAAATTAATCCTACCCAAAAAAATCTAGCATAATGTGTATATTTCAAGGCTATTATATACGGCATCATAATAACTTCCAAAAATATTAGATTCACAAATTATCCATTCATTTCATTTGTGCAGGCTTAGGCTTAGTCATGCACCATTATTTTCCACATCATCATTATCCTTTTAAAATGTAAACATTTGAGAAAAATATATTATATTTCTCTCATATATATATAGTCTCATTTAATTCAAACAAAAGGCAATAATAAATGGAGGTAAACATTGTACAGCACTGCCAAATCCTGACTACTCAGGAAAGAACAGGTCATGGGTCATTCATATGACAAATCATCTAAAACTCATTCATATACTCTAAACCTCCTTAATTCACACTAGAGAAGTCCTGCCTAGCCTGGTGAAGTGTGAACTACAGAATATTTTTAAGGAAGTATTTCTGAAGAGTTCAATTGATCTTTAATGAATTTTTTTGTATCACAAAACTTCTTCTACAGAGATCCACGTAATAATATGCACATCACAAATAACCAGAAGTTTATTTTAATCAAAGAATTCATTCGTTGACCTTAAGCAAACTTTATTTGAATTGATATTTAATCTATTATCTCTTTACTAACTCCCCCCTTAATTACTGAGTTACTCATGTCAAAAGGACTGGAAGAAAGTTCTAGTAATGAAAACAAAGGAAATTTGTACTTAGGCACATTAAGTGATCATAAGATTTAAAATAGCACCTAAATCAAAAAGCTATCAAGAAATGATGCACACATAGAATCTAAATGATTGAGGCACTTAGAGGTGAGAAGGAGAAAATCCTGAGTAAAGTATAATTATGATCATAACAATATAATGGCAATGATAGAGCTGGAAATAGTTTCCAGGTCAACTATCAGCTGCACCATCATTTTCTCTAACGCTCCAAGCACACGGTGAAAGCCTGGATTCATTCAGCAGTATCTGCTATATGGCAAGAAATGTGCAGTGCTCATCCAATTTTCCTTTAACAAATGAATACAAATATTTGCAATGTTGATGACTAATGAATTCTCTGTTAGATTCCAGGCTCAGCCACCTCTAACACATACCTTCCTAATAGTGCCCCCTACTTGGTTTATCCTTTCCTAAGGGCCATAAAAGTGTCTGTTCTGAAGAAACCATCTACCTAGAACTCCAAATAATTATTTATTAATTCCATAAAGTTCTCAATTCTTCTAATAACTATTTGAAACAAGTTTTTTAAAAACACCATTAAAATATGCTCTAAAAGAGTAAAAGTTTGACCACATGATTCATTCTATTCTAGGAGCCAAGAGAACTTCGTCTTTGCCCTCTGAGGGTTCACGGGCAAGAGGCATATTATTAGGATAAAAGCCATATAAATTGATTTGATCATAATTTTATGTGACATGGGAGCCTTTAGAATGAAGACCCAAAGCTACCGGGGATATTGCCCATTTTTATGTTTAGGTTTAATGAAGTATGGACAGCCATGTAGAAATATGACTGGACAAAATGGGTAGGATCTAATCTTAATAGACTGAGTGGGGAAAAGCAGTAAGCCTTATCATTTAGATTTTTCTTGGCCTCTTTGAGTTTTGTTTTGCTGCTTTCTGGGTATGGAGAAGAACCCTGTCTGGAAGGGGGTGTTTTATGAACTGTAATCAAACAAGGTAGGTAAGATAAATTTTTAAGGCCAGCCCTTACACAGAAAGCTGGGGAATGAGGGGAGTTGAGCAACATTTTTAGGCTTTATGGCTAATTGTAGAAACAAGGGATTCTGGTGTCTATGGCCCACCTTGGAAAAGAAGAACTCTAGTTTCTTTCTTTTTTTTTTTTTTTTTTTTTTTTTTTTTTTTTTTTTTTTTTTTTTTTTTTTTTTTACAGAGTCTCACTCTGTTGCCAGGCACCAGGCTAGAGTGCAGTGGCGTGATCTCAGCTCACTGCAACCTCCGCCTCCCAGTTTCAAGTAATTCTCCTGCCTCTGCCTCCCAAGTAGCTGCGACTACAGGCACACACCACTACGCCCAGCTAATTTTTGTATTTTAGTAGAGACAAGGTTTCACCATGATGGCCAGGATGGTCTCGATCTCTTAACCTTGTGATCTGCCAGCCTCGGCCTCCCAAAGTTCTGGGATTACAGGCGTGAGTCACCACGCCTGGACTAAAATTCTAGTTTCTGTGGCTAACCTCAGGGGAAAATGAAGGGCCAGTGACAGGAAAGCAAGAAAAGATAAAAGGAAAATGTGATCCTGACTCTGCTTCTGAGCCCTTCATTTGGGGATACCATTTTCTGAGATCCGACACTAGATACATTTAAGATAAGTAGTAATTTTCATTTGTTTTTTGGCTTTATTTTGTTCCTGCTGCATTTATTCTCTTGGAAGAGCTGAGGTGGCCAAGATCTTAAAAACTATAACTGATTTCCTTCTACTTATGGATGAAGAAACTATAGACCAAAGTAACTGAGCAGCTGCAGAGCCATGACCAACTATCTCCTAGTTCCCTGCCATGATTAATGACCATCTACCTCCAAACCTAAGCAAAGACCCTGAAATACAATAGGCACCTTTCAAAACTTCAGATACTACTTTATATGTTATACCATGTTAGTGTTCATCATCCAACTTAAAATACTGCAATTAATCCACCAAATGTTATATGCAAATAAACCAACCAGGCAGAGAAGCATAAAGTAGCCTAAAGTTTCTGGACACCGTGGAATAGGAGAGGAGTGGCTTTCTGGTGCTCCTATAGTTAAGGCTGATCCTCCAGTAGAAGCTGATTTGTCCCACAGCTATACAAATTTGTGAGAAGACTATAAATGTGTGTATATATACATTTGCACAAATATATAGGTGCACAATTATACAATGGAGAAAGGGAAATAACCTTAGCTCGAAGAAATCTGCAAGCTCAAATCTAACCAAGTAAACTAATTTCTATTGCTGTACCTACCACTAATGTTATCTACATACATCGTAGACCAAATTCTTTGTTTGGCAAATATTGTTCAATTGTCACACTTTTTTATTATCAGGAACTGATCCCTTGCTTTCCACCTACATTCTCCTACAGCAGCCAAGCATTCTTCCATACACCTTAGAGTTGGAGCTCTGGTCTCTGGACCACACCCCAGTGTGTGTGATCTAGAGCTGCACTGTCTTAAAGTCTCTCAAGAGCCATGTGCACGGAAAATATTCTATTCTACATATTTCTATTTTTAAATGTGTTAAGAATAATAATTTAAAGTTTCAGCAGAGGTTTTAGGTCAATTATATTAAGCATTATAAACATGCAGACCAAACCAGTCATGGAAGAAAGTTTGGAATTGTACCACTATGCATGATGGCATGTCATGGAGTGAAGGCCCCAGAGTTCCTAAAATGAACTGCTACCAAAAAAGAAAAAAGTCAACAGTCTGCTGGTATTGTAACTATTTAAAGGCAAAATGTTCCAACGTACAACAATGTTCAGAATTCTACTTTCTTAATTCCTTCACAAAAATGTTTAACTGCTAAACATTTACAGTAAAATAGTTTACAATTATTTTCCTCCTAAGTACATAGGTCTCCAGTTTTATAAAGGAAAGAAAACATAAAAGGTTCGTGTAACAGAAATTTGCTTGATGGACAGCTTTGCTAGAAAACAGGAATTCCCCAAACGGAGGTCATTGAAGAAGAGTTCTCTTTAACCATCTTATCAGTTTCAATCAATACAGGTAAACTAGCGAAAAGCTGACTGGATAAAAATTGCCTTCACAAGTCTCATTGGTTTTTGAGCTTTAAGATTTAAGACTAAGGAAAGGCACAGGGGCTCACACCTGTAATCCCAGCACTTTGGGAGGCCAAGGCAGGAGGACTGCTTGAGCCCCAGTATTAGAGATTGGCCTAGACAACATAGTGAGATGCTGTCTCTACAAAAAAATTAAATTAAATTAAAAATTAGCCAGGCTTGGTGGCCCACATGTGTAGTCCCAGCACTCAGGAT